GAATAGTACTAAGTCATTTGTGCATGCAACCAACCACCGTTCACACGAATAATCAAGTCTGTCTAACAACATTTACTTACGCATCATTGCATGACTGAAATCCAACAAATTCACTGACAACTTGTCCTCAATCTCACAGACAAGTGAACTAAAAACAGGAAATATTCATCAAGAACCGCTAAATTCAAATGATTCACATGATGATTAGGGACGTATCTTCGAAAATAACATTGAATAAGTTGATAAGAAAATTGACTAACAATCAAATGAATTATATGTGATTCAATAATTAAGCAAATAATTCAAGAATCTCTGTCAAACACATATCGAATAGCTTTCTAATGAATTGACCAACAATGAACTAATCAACTGTCTCTCTGTTGAACAGAATAGAAAATGATTATCTATCATATGTATACATTCATCACTTCCACACACATTCACTCACATTCACACATTCACCATTTCCTGTCAAAATTAAGTACAGTTGAGTGGTACATTTCTAATCTGCTTTACCCCACGTAGTGTTGCTTAAACTAAGTTAAATTGATGAATTTCAATGTAATTCATGTTCATTCGTGTCCAATCGAATCAGGAGCAGGTGAATGAAATGAGAAACTCCCTGTTATAATAAATATTTAAAAGCAACAACAATGTTGTGTGAAACGCGTAGTCTATGATTAATTGAAATTTGTGGAATTATTTCTCATCATTGATATGTGTTCGCTTGTTAATATAAGTGGTTGAATTAACATGCTTTGAGTAATAATTCATACAATAAACTGTCATGCACTAGAAGAAATTAATTGTTGTTTGAAATGTTTGTCACTGATTATTGAGGTTATTTTCGATAAACATATTTGCCCATTAAACATGTGATAAATTTTCATAGATCGAGTCATGTGCTAATCTTATTCAGACTATCGTTGGAAATCCGAAATCACTGTGCAGGTGTTTCAACCTTATGGGACTCTAGAAGTTACCTTCCGCGAACTTGTACGTGAGAATCAGACCTGACACATTCTGTCCGTCTTACGTTCTCACAATTAGCCTCTAAGCAACCGAACCGACATCCGACGATGTGATCGACCGACCATATTACGCAACCACCATTTGTCTGTATTGGATAACCGGATAATCTATAAGATCGTCAAACATCTTATTGATAACTATACCATATGGTTGCTAGTAATGTGGCTGATTACTTCTTCTTAGTTGTAATGTGTCAAGTTTCTGTTGGTGGTTAGATAAGTGAACTGTTATGATTCTGAATACAGTCAATTACAAACCAGTAAAATAGATGTTTATTTCATACTTACTCTCTGAAAATTCATTTCCAAATCTACAAATAAATATATTATTCCATTATGAAAATGGCATTCTTCCTAAATATCTGGACTACCTGTTACACACACCATCTAGAAATCCCAACAAGTTATGTAAACTTTTGGCTTAACACACTAATTATGTCCATTGTTCACACAACTTTTCAGGCACGTATACACAAATTTCACGACACATCACTTTACAAGGTACAAAAAGTGTAGTTAGGGACATCACAGTGGCTGGCAATATGCATTGAAAGGAATGGACCATGATTAAATGTCTATTCTTGAACTGTTAACTTTTAAATGCCGATCAGGAATTCGCAAGATGGACCAACTTCAGTTTCCATATTGCTCTCGATATACAGTATTACATCAGGCTAATAATAACATTTATAGCTGATTTGATAGACATACTATACAATCTTTATTCATTTCTTTCTTCTGATACTCTTTCACAAAGTGGTTACTCTGATAAATGTCTGAAAACATATATTTAGCAGATTGACATACCACCTCAAAATCATCGTTGTAGATCAAGAAATTAGTCAATGATGCACATTATAAATCACCAGAAATTTGAAAGACTTATCGAAATTCCTGTTGCTTTGAGGATAATACTAATATATCATTCCTTGTCATACAGACCTACAGACAGGACAGAAAAAGATGATAAATCCCAAATGTATGCATAATTGATACACCAACCATAAAAAGCATTGTAGACAAATATTTTATCAATTCTCTCTCAGTTTAAAACATATTTAAAGTTAAGAAATTAATATATTAACTTGAAAACATATAATCAAATGTTTCTCCAGAATGAGGAACATCTGCTCGACCAGACATCAGCAACTGCACTCATTCTAAAGAGCTTACATCTTGCAAGCACTTTACAATGATTCTATCACTCAAATAGATGCTAATTCATTTAAGATTATCATTACAATAGTAGTAAATAATAAGATTAAGTGATGTAATCTCTTATCAACTATTCATTATTAGCATTATTTATCGAATTATAAGAAGTTTAATATTAAACATAAATTCTGAATGAATAGTGAATGTTTTTTACTTCCTGAACAATCACCGACTATTCATTATTCTGTTGTTTGTAAATTATTTATTTGATTGACCGAAGTCTATAGAACTTACTTTCATTATGATCTACTAACATACTTCAGTTTCAATGAAATTTCGAATTAAGTTCGGAAGTTTAAAATGAAAACTGACTGGATGTCTTAATAAAAGAAAATACACTTTTTGCCATTTCATTATGTCATTATCATGTATGAAAAAGGTTACTTTATATTTATAGTAAAAAAATTTCATAAAGGATAAGTTTAAAATGTTATAATAAACATAACAAAATGATTTTAGTTTTGTATATAATGTAAATCAGGAGCCATTGACTAGCTGTTACTAAAAGAGGATTCCTTATTAGCAAGTATCCACCATCCAAAAACCAGAGACTTAAGTTAAGACTATCAGCATCACTTATTAAAGATTTTTGAAACAGGCAGCTATTAATTAATGTTTCTAACCAATACATTCGTCTAGGCGTTTATTATGATTCAGTACATATAACATTTTCAGAAATGGAAAAAAGAAACCTATGAACAGAATTCACATAAATTACGATTGATTATTCACCAACCAACATGCTTTTAACCTAGTTATTTATTACATTAAAGTTTTGTTCTAAATGTTGGTAACACCATATAATTTCGTTAGTATTGAAATTATCATTATAATACTTGAAAGTTTTTGTATGAAAGTAATGAGAAGTATTCACTGAAGATGCTCGTGAATGGATGTCAATGAACGTCAGCACACTTCATGAAAACGATATTTTGCGATTACCTTAAGTCATAAACATTGAGATGAGTGATTAAAAACATTTTTGAATATCAGCTTCAGTAAAAATTGAAAAAAAACCATTCTCTCAACTTGTGAATATAGGAAGAATGACAAAAGTTGATTGAAGTGAAAAGACTAAATTAAGTCAACTTTAGTTAGGTGAGGATTGTCACTAATGCATCTCCCACATGTTCAATGGTCTAAGAAATTTAGAAATTCTACTGCTGAACTGGATATTTACTCAAAAACTCCTATCTTGTAGAAAATCCACAAGTATATGGAAACTATTACAAAAGCTTACATAAGGGCGATGCATTAGTTCCGTAAGGTTGAAACACCTGCACAGTGATTTCGGATTTCCAACGATAGTCTGAATAAGATTAGCACATGACTCGATCTATGAAAATTTATCACATGTTTAATGGGCAAATATGTTTATCGAAAATAACCTCAATAATCAGTGACAAACATTTCAAACAGCAATTAATTTCTCTTAGTGCATGAATTATTACTCAAAGCATGTTAATCCAACCACTTATATTAACAAGCAAACACATATCAATGATGAGAAATAATTCAACAAATTTCAATTACTCATAGACTACGCGTTTCACACAACATTGTTGTTGCTTTTAAATATTTATTTATTATAACAGGGAGTTGTTCATTTCATTCACATGCTCATGATTCGATTGGACACGAATGAACATGAATTACATTGACATTCATCAATTTAACTTAGTTTAAGCAACTCTACGTGGGGTAAAACAGATAAGAAATGTACCACTCAACTGTACTTAATTTTGACAGGAAATGGTGAATGTTGTGAATGTGAGTGAATGTGTGTGGAAGTGGTGAATGTGTGCATATGATAGAGAGAGAGAGAGAGAGAGAGAGATAGAGATTCATTTTCTATTCTGTTCAACAGAGAGACAGTTGATTAGTATGAAATGACTAACAATCTCCAGGATGCGTATTACTCAGTTCAAACTTTATTGAATTAGTTTAGCATGTCAGTTCATTATTGGTCAATTCATTAGAAAGCTATTCGAAATGTCTTTGACAGAGATTCTTGAATTATTTGCTTAATTATTGAATCATATACAATTCATTTGATTGTTAGTCAATTTTCTTGCCAACTGATTCAATGTTAGTTTTGAATATACCTCCCTAATCATCATGTGAATCATTTGAATTTAGCGGTTCTTGATGAATATTTCCTGTTATTAGTTCACTTCTCTGTGAGATTGAGGACAAGTTGTCAGTGAATTTGTTAGATTTCAGTCACATAATGATGCGTAAGTAAATGTTGTTAGACAGAATTGTTTATTCATATGAATGGTGGTTGGTTGCATGCACAACGAATGGACTTAGTACTATTCGAAGACGAATTGAAAGGTGGTTGCCCAAAACTGGTTGTGATTTATTCAGTTTGTTCCGACCGTGTACATTGCTAACGAATACAAATTAATCATGACGAGTTGACGGCTGTTGGACAACGATTAATAGACTGGGATCATTGGACGGCCGACGCGTTTGTGCATAGTGCTATGTGACAATGTGTGTGCCTAACTCTGTCGATGATTGAACATACGGCGCCTAACCGTCTGACAAACTAGTCACTATGCATGAGATTGCATGTTAGTGAGAATTTAGTCGATGTTAGTGAATTTATCAAGTGCGATTCAATGATGAAAATGATTTTCAGATTGATGGAGTGACTTTAACAATTAGAAATATCTCTATTCTTATGTCTAATTTTATACTTAGTTTCATCTCATCCTGGCAATGCAAATCGAAAATTGCAATGAACTGTAATAGAAGCACATTTATATTCACACATAAGATTTATTGTTGACAAACAAATACAGGAAAAATAATGTCGTACAGTAATGAATTATTTGCAAAACCAATGAATCGAAAAAAAAACCCACACATGAATGTATATGTGACGTGTTATATAATGGTTAACAATGAACAAATTTTGAGTCATACTGACCAAAATTTATGTGAACTTAAGGCGACTAAATGAATCCGAGAAGATTTCTTGTTCAGTCGTTTATAACATGTATTTACTGATCAGCGTGAAAACAAACACAACAATAATAACACTGTGATGAACAGACAATTTTGTCTTTCCATTGCACAGCTCTGTTTGGCAACATTCAAATTCATTCCGACTTTTAACTTGATCACAAGTAGGTCCACAGAATTTACTTGTAACTCCGGAGCTTGTAGTCGTCTGACAATACAGATCAAAAAAAAATTATGAAGTTATAGACAAGTTTTAGTAAATACACAGTAGTTATAAATGATAAATGATTTTTTATAATTTAATATTATTAACAGAGATGCCCTAAATCAGTATTAAGTTTAATAGTAATATAGTTTGAGTTTGACTTGCTGATTTTATGACCATATGTATGATTTCGTAAAACTTAATAATTTACTAACTCATTGTTTTGTTGAATGTGGTGAACATCGCTGATATATGATAACTAGTGTTTTATTGATTAAACAGATCTAATTAGACCTGCAATCAATTTTCATTTTGGAAATGTAATCTATTAAGAGGTGAAAATCTCCAGCAAAAAGATATGTGATCGTGAATACACTATCTACACTCTGAAATGTTACCTAGAAAGGAAACCTATCGTAACCAGATTGTCGCTTCAGTTTTGTTTTAAATACAACTAATCTGGATTATAAATACTCATTGATACTGGTCAAACGAATAGGTTTTATACAAAATATTTGATGAAATCCTCACTGAATTCTTTATAGAGTGTGATGGATCATTCAGGAAAAACGTCGTAAGTTTCTCATAGGTTTCAATATGCACTAGTGTTTCGAGAAATATCTTTAATACGTATGATTTGCATTTTTCTTTAGCAGTGCTACTAACTAAATAAATGTGAATACTTTCTTAGTTATTCGTTATACAGTTGATAATATTTAGAGCATACAAGAAATAAAATTTCAGATATCTGTAAGTTTCATCCCATACGAAAATAATATTCCATCCAATACTTTTCATTTCTGAACTAAAAGAATCAGGGTAGATACAGTCAAATTACATTTCAAAAGTATTTCAATTCCTTTGTTTTTACTTTCAATTGACTACATTTACGAAATTCGATTGAAGTGAATCATAATGTATAGTCTACAGATCGAATGGCTGATTTTAAACTTGTTGAATTCCAATGTATTTCAATGATTGAATTTTTAAATACTTATGAAATCCTACTTTTTTATATCGTAAATCTAATTCATAATAAAATGAATAATATTACACTAGTTATTTGAACTTACCACGCATCCACCACAACCACTAACAATCTTGTAATTATATTTTGTACAATTCAAACAAGTATAACAACTGATTGGTTTTTCTATAAATTAAATTAAAGAAGTCAACATGAAACTAAACGACTACATGATATGAGGAAAAGTTGAAAATGTTCAATACGAGTTATGGAGATTAGTGTTTGTTGCATATTGAAATCATCAATCAATCATTGTTAGACCACCATTAGAAAGCTGGAAGCACTGGACGGCCGTTTCAGCCTGGTATGGCACTCATCAGCAGTGCGCATCAAGGACGAAACGGCCGTCTAGTGCTTCCAGGTTTCTAATGATGGTCTAACAATGATTTATTGATAATTTCAATGTGGAAAAAAAAATTTACGATCATATTATCAAAATATATCAAACATGAATTATTGTTGTTGACTGACTGATTGACTGTAAAAAATCACAAACATTGTTTCTTAATAATATTTACCAAGTTTTCTTTTGCAATAATCATGACTGTATATAAAATTTAAATAAAAAATATATATATTACTCACGTATATATCCTGTCGGTCGACCTAAAATCACAATTTTAAAATAAAGATATAGGCAATATTGAGATTCCAGTTATTTTTGTTAAAAATCAACAGAAACGTCATATACTTCACAATTGTTTAAACTAAAGAAGGAATTGAATGGATTTGATGTTTAGCATCGTTACTTTCAGTAATTTCAATTTACTATCAAAAGCTAAATATTTTTACGATAAAATTTCATTCGGTTCAATGTACAATCTATAAATTTACATGTTTTTAAAAAATCGTTTAACATACAGAGTTTATATGTATCAATAGAGAAGAAAGTGAATATACGTAGTCGATTGAACTGATTAAAATTTTAATGTGTTTAGTAAACCAAAAATTTAATTTGTTCCTGTTAAAAAATCTATAGTTTGAATGAGAATGGGTTTTAACAAAAAATACATCCTTTCTAAGTACTTGGGTAGTTGTTATAAAAAATACTATTTTCCATACCATTATATTTTATGTCAATCAAATAGATGAGATATAATTTTAACATGAACATTTGAAGCTGTAAATACAAATGTTATTTAGGATGATCATATTTAAATAGTAGGTTCAGTTGTAAAGTTTTGATTTCTTAGAAATTTGATTCAACTTAATAGATATTTTGATATTGAACTTAAATAACGTCTAAATAGATAATTTTATTCAATATATTTTTATTAGATTTTATTGTCGACTATTTAAAGTTACATGTAAAGGTAAGAAACAAAAAATTCTCTCAATCTTATGATTACTAAAGTTTTTATAAGTTTTGTTTAGTAACTATCATAGTAACCGATACAGAACTGTTCACCAGTTAACACATTTTCAATAGAACATTATGCACATTATGCATTTACAATGAAAAACTAGTTTTGTTTTATTTTGGAAAATTCTTAAACCACAGTTAAATAAACTAAGTCAATCAAACATTTGACATCATATTTATCGACGATTTTTTGATGATCTCGAAACATTTACAAATATCATAGATTTTGAAATGCTAACAAGATACCATTGATTGGATTTTTAGACATATATGTAATAATCACATTTATTTTATAGCTGAAAATTTGATTACTGTATTCAGCAAATTATTTGTAGACTTGAAACAGTTGTTGATGTGTGTGCATATGATGTAATACAAGTGAAAAAAAACTTGTTGATAAATGGAAAAATTAAATATCTTAAGAAATTATACAGATTTTAAGTGTACAGATAAACTATTAATAAACATCTTGATATTTTTTTCTTTGTGTTTAATGACAATCACAAGATTTTTGTGACATTCAATGATGAATGAAACATTGAACAACTGAAAATGTATGCTAATTTTGAATGAACTATAATACAGCATAATTTATAAATTGTTTATTCACATGCTCAATTTTTGATCTTTCTATGGAATGTAAATGATGGTGGTAGTTCACATCAATACAATTTATGAATTACGAATAAATGAAATAAATATTCAGTAGCTAATCTTTGAATAAGACAAGTATTTAACCATTGGACAATTGACTGGAAGTTTATGATTTTGTTAAATTTTAGATTTTTTTGAAATGAAATAAATGTACGGCAAGATTATAATTATACAGTTAGTACATTTAAAACATTGAAAATAAATGAAATCATGAATCAGTCAATGTAATAACAGCATTAGAAATCTGGACGCACTGGACGGCCGTTCCGTCCTAGTATGGGACTCATCAGATGTGCAGATCTACGATTCTTGCTAATCTAATCTAACCCACAAACATATAAACATATATTGAATGTTAATATATGTCTTTATTCTGATATAGATTTCATACTTTTTATCGAACGATATTATCACTTCTATCACTTACTTCCGGTGTTGTCAATTGTTACACCATTACATAAATCGGTGTAGCACTGAGACAGATTTACCGTAGGGAAGTTAACAGGTATTGAACCAAGCGCACAAGTTCTGTGAACTGAGAAACCATCATTAGACATCTGCGAATTAAATTAATAAGAAAATAAAACATGAATTAAGATGAATGAAAATAATTCAAGTAAAAATTGATGAGCAAACATAGGAACTCCTTATTGAATAAATGGATTACTTTTATTCTAGGCTGACTTACAACTTAGATACACGTGTTTGTAAGGAATGACAATTCATCCAATTATTGTTTTATTATTGTCAAAAAAAGCAATAACCACGATAATATCAAGGTTAAGTTACACATAAGATGTTACATTTCATTTGGCATAAAAAATTATAAGTCATCAAAAGTTTACATAATTTATTTAATAGAGAAATTAAAAATTTATCAGATCGTTTAACTTACTGCGCAAGATGTACAGTTGGCATTATATATTGATACGTTCGTCACTATGGGGCAGAATTCACAATTATAACAACGCACTGATTGGAACTGATCTATGTCAAAAAGAAACAATGATAATAATAATAATAATATATTCCATAATGTAGAATGAATTGTTAAGATTTTTGTAATCAATTCAGAATGTGAAATATTTCATTCATTCTTCATCACATTGTATTTTAACAGTTGAACCAAACCTAAGATACATATTTTCCATAGACTGAAACAATCATTTCTTGAATATCTGATCAATTATATTTCAATGAATCAATTCATTTTCATCTATATCATTTTATTGCTCATTATTTTCATGATCAGTCTTCTTGTATTTTATCATCGAATAAAAACAAAGTATCAAATGATCTGATGAAGAAATTTTCAGTTTCAAGCCAAATTATTAAAAGTTGTAACTGAAATAAACCAGTGATTTATGTTTATTCCTTTTCTTTTTAATCAAGTATCAATATTTATTCATCATAAAACATCGAACACTTAAAACGAATTTAAGTACCATTGAACTGTTCAATGAATCACTAGTAAATAAAAATATGCTATATGAGTTCGATTATTCATTTAAAAAATTTAAGCGTAAACTATTCATAAATTTGTAGGCCATCTCTTAGTGGATTATTAAATATAAGTTTCTTTTATGAAATTAGTAATATTGAAATCAAATTGTTTGATAATAAGGCAAAGCTAAACATAATACAGCAAACATATTCGTTCACTCTTACATGGGAAAAAGCTTTCGTTTTCGTAATACATTAAAAGATGTAATGACCGTAACTTAAGTTTATCGCTGATTAAAATACACAAAGAGTAGGTTGAACTTCCGAGGACCAGTAACCCAAACACAGTCGACTGAGTCATAGTTTATTATTAACTTGAATTGATGTGACTTTTACTGAATCTGATTACCAATCTGCCTAAATTAAAGACACTTTTGTCGAATAACCTTTCAGAGATTGATCTCATACAAAGCCATTGAATTATCTACTTAAGGTAAGCAAATAACAAAATTTATTTACGAAATACTTTGAGTAACGATGTAATACTATCACTACCTTTAAATTTGAAATGTTACTTCAGGATTGGTCTGCATCATCATTTAGACCGATCGTGCATAATGAGTTAGTTAAGTACGGAAACTATCTCATACTGTCTCAGAGACTATCTCCGAAGTCACACCAAACCTTGCAGATTGACACCTGATGAAATCTCGGCTCAGATTCAGAAAACCCACCTGAGTTTTTCTGACAGTTGTCATTTGGAGAGTAGGCAAGATATCAGCCTGTCAACAAAAGTCTTCTGTAAAGAATGGTCTGAGAAAGTACAGGAGAATTTCGGGCTTTATTTATATATATTATATGGACTAAAAGCTTAGGTGACATCTCCCAATAAAGGTGAATTTGGAGCAAATGAATTCGTTATTTATCTTACTCTAGATTTTGATGCCATGTATTGTTTGGTCGGTATTTTCATTTCACGTTCCTGAATAATCTTATAATTAACGTATACTGAGGATTTTGTTTTGACCCATCTGTTCTTCACTTTGTTACTGCGTTAATGTTGCATGGTGAGATGGGACAATGCACAGTTGTGATGAATTCGGAATTGAAAAATTCCAACTTTAAATGTTAAACCGTAGAACTACTCAGGTGATTTGTGCTCTCAAAGTTACGAAATTCTTAAATAAATAACCCGCTTAATACATATAAGAAAGAGGTCGAGATTCTATTAGATAAAATTAAGGAACCTTTGGTTACAGTGTGAAGGAAGTTTCAGTGAACCTTCCTCAGTCGAAATGCATATGATCGAAAGATAATATAAGACAACATCAAACACTATCGGCTCAAAAAGAACATAGGATTATACGTAGACAACTTAAATTACTTACGTTTATTTAGAATATTTACCAAAATATACAGAACGATACCAATATATCCTAAGCCTCTTTCCATTACTCAAGGGCTTCAAGATACTTGAAAACGTGTATAGATAAAATTTACGTGAATTGGATTTATTTATCGGCGTGAAAAATATCAATCAGTAATGCTAGACATGCAATATCTAGACGGTAATACTACCCAATCAGGAGCAAGTAAGTCACTATTCAGTTTATGCGCCTGTCAGTAGATGCTGTCTATATCTCAACTATTTATAGAGTGGGATGAAAAGACAGTCGATTTTCATAGTGTTGATACAGACCTGAAAACTACTTTTTATGGAAATTGGTAAAATATTGATCACAGATTCTGGAAAACCAAATAAAGATAGTAGGCATATATGAGTGTTTGTGTGGGTTAATGAGCAACATGAGTGAGTCACAGGAGGTGTAAACAAACACCTACGCCTCATCGGACGTGTTTACAGTCGAGACGATTTAAGTGGTCCATGTAACAAACTGTGAGGTCTGTCAACATCACTTAATCAGATAGACAAAACTTTTATTCTCTTGAAAAATATCAAGGTTACGATGTCCCATCAACACTTACTGTTAGCCGTTCAAATCTTTAGAATTAGTCAACATTCGAATATTTATGTGTTCAGACTAAATGTTCCATAGTATCTCAGTTAATTTGATTTTCATAGACTCAGTTTTAATCAGCAATATAAGCGAGGTTTGGTGAAATGCCTCTTCAATAGGGCTCAAAGGATTCGCACCACGGATACATTTGACGACAATGCAAAATTCTTAACTGAAGCATTGATTTCAAACGGCTATCCGCTAAAGTACATCAATAGGTGTAGAAATCAGTTAAGACAAAATCCAGTTTTTCATTCTGCTGAGAAGAAAAGGTTTATATCACTTTACCATTTAGAGGCGAAGTAAATGGTCTAATCTTAAGACAGAGACTAAAAGCAGCCATAGAGAAAACATACAACGCTGCTAAACTGATTGTAAATGGAAAGACTAGGCTCATGATTTCATAGAGACCTAAACGTTGCTCGAATGATTACATCACATCCCATTGCATTTATCAGTTTACATGTTTGTGTGGACACATACATAGGCAGGACTAATCGGACTTTGCAGTCAAGGGTTATGGAACATGTACCTAAGTGGCTTCAAAATCAGTTAACGTCAGATGAGCCGATTAGCGTTGGAAATAGAAAACCATGTTCATCGATCGCAAAACACATAATTGAGACAGGGCATAAGATTGACATCAAGACAGCCTTCAAAACATCGTATAGAAATGTTGGAGGACGAATTTTGAGGTTTATGGAGGCCTTGGCTAGTCGAACACTAAAACCCTCCTTATGTGTGTAGAAGCAGTTTGTCATAACCTTGAATTTACCCTGGTAATCTTTAAGCTTAGTGTAATGTGACAATTTTCCTACCCTTTCTTATTCTTTTCATATTACGTTAATTTTCACTCTCCTTTATTTACAATTATCACCTTATGTCTATTTGAACTTTTATTTAATTGACCTTTTATTCATCTTCATGTAAAATGCCTTGACAAGTAAATATGTGTGACCAGATTGTTCGAAATGTATAGCGCAAATACATCACATTTTCCAGATCAATTACGTCTTCTCACTAGTCTATCAAAATTTATAAAAGGGACTAATTGTTTTAGTCAAATAAGTTGTTTGTTAGAATCATCAAAATTTGACATTTTATTTTCTTCACCTCCAGGTATTTATTAATCCGACATTACGAAACTGGTAAATTAAAATTATTGACTAACACAGCTGGTCCAATTTTTATTGTACTTATTAAAATATTTTGCTGTGTGTCCGTTGTACTATTTACATGTATGTTAGTTTGATTCGCTAATTTATGCTTGTTATTTAAAAAACGGCTTAAACGCAATTTCCTGATTAAGGTTTTATGTGTGTGTGTATGCCACTATGTTGAGCACACAGGGCTTCGTTCTAGCTTTCGGACAAAATAATCGACCTTCTCTGCCACAGCCATTATTCATTTGTCTTTCAACCTTGTCTTTTATTCGCTCATACTCATGATTGTTTTCATGTGCATAGTTACTTCGAATACTATGTGTCTAGCTTATTTTATCTGACTATAAATACTTAATTATGCTTCATCTCAGTGAGTTGGCCAGCTCGCCCTCTACACTTCTCTCCGCTTTGCTTTTGCGCTTTGTATTCTCTCATGTCTATCTGCGTGAATGGTTGCATAAAATAAACGTACCCAAGTGGGTTCGCATGAGACAGTGACAAACAGTGGGAGCTTATGTTGAAGGCATTATTTTGCTCAATTCAAAACCTAAATAATAACATTTTTCTTGCCCTAGTTGACGCATGGTTTATTGCAACAGTTTGTTTTATTCCCAAATTATTGTAACTTAGACATGATCCCCAGAACATGATTTTCTCCCTTAAACGGCTATTTTGGGCATAAACCCTTAGACTTTGTGGTGTTGCTAAGTTTATATCTACTTGTGCTTTTTTGTGAATCGAATCAGGAGTAAATAGTGGTCCAGTAGACTAGTCTTCTCTCTGTCCTATCTGCTAGCCTAGCCCGTTATAAAATAAATTTCTTCCCTCTCCAAGGTCGTTTGGTTGTAGTCTAACTCACGTGCTACTGGTCTCAAGGTTAGCCGGATAGCCTATCACGACAAGGCCTTCAAACTAGATTGGGATAAAGATTATTTTACAATAATATTTAGGAAATGTTTTTTGTATTCACAATTTTTCGAGACAACTTTACAAGTTGTAATCAGCTTACAGTATACTTTGTCATTATATGATTTCACACATGGATTCTAGTAAACTTGCTAACCTATTCGATGAGTACTGCTATGTATATAAACACTGAAAATCGTTGCGTGAGTACAAATCATCAGAAATAAAAATCATTTCATGTTGGTAATTAACGATAGTCAAATACGTAAACGAAGCTATTTCATAACTGCAGTTAGTTGGATTCCGTAAAACAAGTTCATTGCAATGTTTATTAAAAGAACGAATTAAGTATTATTGTGCTAAGTTTGAAACAGCTTTTATCCTCAATAGAACTCCTGGTTTTCTTTAATAATCTATCTGCTAGTTTGTTGCATGTCGACGTTCGGTTACAAATAAAACATAGTCTCAGATCAGAAAGAGTTTCTCATATGTTTAAACTGAAATGTACACATACGAAATGATAAATGTGAAGGAGTTTTACAAATATAATTTATACATTACTGATATTATTCCAGAGTCTAAGGATAATCTAGCTTAGATTCATATTTTAAGGATGGGACAAGCTCGTTGGAAAGATTTTAAATGAGAAATACTTAGTTTCTTATTGTGCATTTATTCTATTACCTATCGATGTACGAATGCATGTTATTCGTGCGAATTTGTCAACTGCAAGAAACATTTAATTTTAGTCATTGAGTCTATTGTAGATTGCAGCTTCAATATTGTATCGACATTTTGATACTAGACAAAATGAATAATCTTTCTCTAAAAAATGAAATAATTGAACCTACCTAAATTACCTGAGGTAAAGTAAACGCAATTAATGTTTTGACCTTCATTATTACTGAACCCATCGAAAGAGCTATGTAGATTGAACTACAAACTAACTCATCTGTGAAATGTAAACAATAAGTAGTGCAAAGATAGTGACGTTTATTTTCAAAGAGTAACGGACTGTCTAAGCAAACACATATTTTGCGTGTGAAATTGTATTTCCCTGTGCCCTTGTCCTTCTTACCCCTGGAACAATCGAACATGTAACTGTAATCGTCCAATAGAGTACCTTGTTCAGATAGGTAAAAACCGTCAACTTCATAGTAGAAACATTTCACAAATTTATTACTGCAATCAGGTCGTTTCATGTGTCTTAATAAAAAAACAGCGGAGAATGTGTTCTCCGCTGATATTTGAGCGAGTAAGATTTCCAGCTGGTGAATTAGTCAGAAAATTACCAGTTTATAAGGAGAAAAGCTTCTGTCATTTCATTATAATCGGATAGCCATTGCCAACAACTCTGAAGAAGTGACTTGCATTAACTTACGAAATTTCAGAAATACAAATTAGGAAAATCATCCATAAAATCTACTTATTATATGATTATTAACGGTTATTTTATTGGATATGTATGCAGAATGAAAGGAATTGTCAACGGCCGACGTTTTCATCACTGAAGGGGTATGTTTATCCAAATATCCAGTTCTGTCCAATTTTTGTCCATTCTTCTCATGCTTGTCTCCATTTCTCGGCGTAATTTGTTCCATGGCCCTCTATTTTCATTTTACCTTGAAGGTTCTAACTGAGGGCTTGTCTCGTGTCGTAGTTGGGTGCTTTCCGCAACGCGTGTCCTGTCCACTTTCACCGCTTCTTGCTGATTTCCTCCTCCACTAGAATCTGATTTGTCCTATCCCACACAAGGCTGTTGCTGATTTTGTGTGGCCAACGAAAATGAAGTATTTTGTATAAACAACTGTTAATCAATACTTGTATCTTCAAGATGATGGCTTGGATAGTTTTCCAAGTTTCCACCCCATACAATAGAACTGTCTTGATATTTGTATTAAAAATCCTGATTTTGGTGTTGGTCGATAGTTATGTGCAGTTCCAGATGTTCTTCATCTGTAGAAATGCAGCCCTTGCTTTGCCAATCCGCGCCCTTACATGTGCATCAGATCCACCTTGCTCGTCAATGATGTTGCCCAGATATGTAAAGATGTTAGCGTCCTCCAAGGTATCTCCATCAAGTAACTTGTTAGTAGTTAATTTGTCATTCCTAGGTTTATAAATAGAAATCCTACCACAAATTCACAATGTATAGCTATACACAATATCATGTTTATAACTAGTTTTCTACTTCAATTAAAGTTCCTATCGAGCTTAGACGGTAGTTTCAGATTTCAACCACAAAAATAATAGCAACTCCATTGGTTAAACAGTTTACTTACGAAACAAGCACTAACCAATCAAATAAGCCAAATTCTAGGAGGGTAGATTGACTCAAATTGCTGAAGGCAGAATTTCTGCAGATAGCTGTTCATCCAGTTTAGATAGTTTTTCATGATTTCAGCTGACTAAACAAATCTAACCATCTTTAAAAAATAACAATGATACATCTGATGTAACTCTATACGCGGGGATTAAATTGTTACTATAAGTTTATGCTTCTACATACAGTTTATTGAAGTTACCTAATTAAATAGTTTAGAAGCAAACTGAATCAAACAAAGTTAGTAAGATAATCTAGCATTGTCTATCAATTGAGGTTTGTTACAGTTTATTGAAATAA